TATTTTTTTTGTACTATTTTTTTCTTTTTTTTTATACAATATACTATCTGTATAGAAAATATATATTTTTTTGTTTTTTTTCTTATTTCTTGCTAAAGTAGTTTGTAATTGCACTATTTAATCTTTGTTTTTAATTAACTCTATCTCTAGTACTTCTATTTGCTTTAGTTCTATTAATAATTTTTTTTTCTATTTCTTTATCATTCTATTTTCTAGTATTTGTTCTAATATTGCATTGATCTTATTATTGCTTTTCTTTATTAGTAATTCTAGCATCACTTTAATACTATAGTCTTATCTTATTTATTTTTTATATTTGTTTCTTGTTTGTTTCAATCTAACTTCACAATCTTTGCATCTGCTTATTTTTGTAACTATTTTTTTTCTTTTTTGTGCATTAGCCAGCATTTAATTAACATCTTTTTTTTTTTTTTGGTTATCTTGCTGAATTGCTAATTATATTTTAGCCTATATATGATTTATTTATTCATTCTTTAGTCTTCTAATATTTTTGTTTATTTAATTTTTAATGCCTATGTGTTATAACTACTTGTCTTATAATAGTTATGTATTACTTTACTTTTTTGTATTACTAGTATTTCTTTTTCTATTTCACTAAACTACTTGGCTTTTTTCTTTTCGTATAACATTTCTTGAAAACTCTTGAGTTGTCTTTATATGATTAGGTTATCATCTTTTATATCTATAAGCTAATTTATATATAATGATCTCTATTTATTTATTGTATAATTGCTTATTATCTATGTCTCTGTTCTTATTATATCTCTTATTTTTTTGCTATAATTATATATTTTTTACAAATATTTTTCTATTTGATATCTATACTTATCTTTTTTGCTTTAGCTATTGTTTAGCAAACTAAATTGTTTTTTTAATATTTTTTCTTTTTTGGTTTTTTTATAGTTTTAGATGTTCTCTGTTATGTTTGCCTTTTGGCATTTTTAAGCTATTTTAAGTTTTGTTAAATTATCAAAACTATCTTGTTTATTAAGTTTTAAGAAGAGACTGCTTATCTGTTTTGCTATTATTTTTTAACTTAATAATTTATAATTTTCTAGTCTTTATACTTAATTATACAATTATCCAATATTTTCATTATGTTATATTTATGTTTATTCAAATATATTAGTAGTTGGTATATTTTGTCAATTATCTTTTCTGATATTTTTATTAATTGCAAAAGATATCCTAGCTTAGAAATTATTGCATGTCAGTATTCTGTGCTAGGTTATATAGATTATATGCAAGTACTGTTACATATGCACCCTTTACCACTATGGTAACCAATAAAATTAATTTTGAAAATATGCTACTTATTTAAATGTTAATATACTTTAAGTTAATAAAACCTCTCTAAATACACCCTTTCCAAGTATACAACCTTTCTAAAGATACTTACAAATCTAAATCTGAAGATTTACTTGACCTCTCTAAATTACTTCTTTATAGTTTTTTTAAATATATGTTGTTCAAATTTGATACAACTATTTATATATACATATAAGCATTGTAGATTAGCAGGAGTACTAGTTTTTTTTTTTTAACAGAAGTACTGGTTTTTTTTTTTTTATAAGAGTACTAGTTTTTTTTTTTAGTAAAAGTACTAGTTTTTTTTTTTTAGTAAAAATACTAGAGTTTTTCAAGTTAGGTTTGGGGTTTCAGTTTTTATTAAAAGAATTTGAGGTTTTGACTTTAGTCAGAAGAATTTGAGGTTTCAACTTTTATCATCAAGCAAAAAAGGTTTTATCTAACAACTATACTTATAAGTAAATACCTGCACATACAACATATATACATACCTTTTATCTATTTTGTTAATTGAAATAAATACTAGTTAATAGTACTATGTCTAGAAGTAATTTGTATATTAAAGAATTAACTGATATTAAAATTTCATCCAAATATATAAAAATTAAAAAGCACTTTTTAAGTGAACATAACATTAAAATAATTATTAAATTTAGAAATTATAATTTTAAATAATGTATATAGAATATACCACATCTGAATATTTATATTTATTTTATACTACAATATTATAAAATATACTAGCAAATTTGTCAAAATATTTAGTATTATACTTAATATTTCTACTACAAGTTTACTGAACTAATAAAAAAAAATTTGAACAGTTCAAATACTATGCTATATAAACATTCATTACATATTAATTTAAAAAATTATTTGAAACATTTTTCTGCAAATTATGCTTCTTTTTGCTTATTATTCTTGCCTTACATTTAGAAATATTTTGAACATCATTTTCATTACTTTTAGAATGCACTCATTTCATATTTAGTTTTCTTTGCTTTATAGACTCAACTTGTACTTGAATTTTTCTACTACTCTTAATACATGCCAAAGAATCTGAGTTATGATTAAGATCATAGAGAAAAGAATTCAATCTTAGAATAGATAGTGATTTGGCTACTTTATATCGCTCTGCAAACTTATTTAATGCTAAATGCAGTTGTAGATTATTACTTTCATAATCTTCTTTGACCTCTTTTAAAAAAAAGTCAAAAGAAAAATCATCAACTTGATCCTTAGATTCACTTTAAAAAAATAAAGATACATATTATTTAATTAAAAAAAAATGTATTATTTAATTAAAAAATAAAAATAAAAGATAACTAACTGATCTGTTATAATATTGATACTGGTATTAATACTTGTTGAATTAGTAATATCATGTAATAGTAATTTATATTGTAATGATAATAGGAACCCTTGTTCTTTATTGTTTTGTCCTTCATTATGTTGCATTTGCACTTTAGTATTTTCAGATATAACAGGTTTTGTATGCAACAATGCATAAAAAGAATTATTCTTTATATCCAAACTTTAACATTAATAAAGTTTAATTTAATAATATATTTGTAGGTAATTATAACAACATTGATAACATATGAATTCTATTGTCTATGTATATAAAAAATGGCCTTACTACTTGCAATATATAAATAACTCATACATTTTTTAACAGTTAATAAAGATAAAAAATTAATTATCCCTATATAATATTTTGCTGCAACAGCACCTTGGTGCTTGCATGAAGCATCTAACATTCCAACAGTACAACTACAAGTTCCAATTGTACTATTCACAGTATATACAAGATCCTTTTTACTTGTACTTTGAACTAAATATTCATTTTTGTTATTAGATTTTTGAATAGAACTTTCATTAACCTTTTCCTAGCCAGAATATAAGAATCTTCTTGTAACTTTTATATGATTATGATTTTGATATGCAAATTCAAATAAGTGTCACTTTTTATGTTTTCTACAACAAAACAAAACACTTAAACCAAATTGAATACCTAAGTCCTTCCAAAGATAATATCCTTAAGTAAACCAAAACTATACTTAACATAATTGTTTATATAATTGCCATATATTAATAAATCTACACAAAAAGAATGTGCCCAATGTTCATAATGAGTTCAAAGATGTTTATAGTATCTTTTAAGCAAAGAATACAGCTTATAATAGTTCTCTTTAAGTTGCTAATAATAAAATTTAATTTTATTTGCTGTTTGTGCATAAAGAATTTTTTTCATTATGTTCATTATCAATGGTCAGTGCTTCTTGTTAATGCTATGCTTAGAATTGTACAACTATCTTTAAAATGCCTAGAAAACATGAAATGTACATAAAAATTACTTTGATTGGGGCCAACTAAACCTTAGTGCATTTTTTTCAGCAGCTGAATCATCCATTAAAAAAAATTAAGGCCTGATATTTTGTCTATGACCAAAAAACATATGCTTTAAAAGAATTTTTTTTAAGATACTAATTGCTTCTTTAATAGCAATCTCAAGTTTATTCAATTTTATAAATAAACCTAATGGTAATGCATCTACAATGCAACTAGTGTAAAGTAATATTATTGACATATTTAACAGCTTAAATAATGTGGATGCATTTATATAACAAATTTTATCTGCTTGAATAATTCGTTCATGAACTCTACTTATTAGCCTAGTAACAATACATAAAATAAATGCTTTTTCACTTTGTAAGTTAAATTCCTGAAGAATTGCATGACTATGACCAGAAGCATTATAATTTTTAACTTTTTCAAACAATTGTTTAAACATAGATGTTCTATTTTTACTACCAAGTTGTAAATTACAATAATTATTAAAAATATTTTTAACATTATTATAACTAGAATTAATAGTATGATCAGCAAGTATTCTAACAAGCTCCTCATTTGATAAAGCAGAAAGATGAATTTCATCCTCATAAACATACAACGCACTTGCAGGTGAATGTTCATCACAAAAGAATTGCATGTATTTTTTATAGATTTGTACATTTATATGATAAAAGCTAAGCACTTCTGCTGAATTAATAACATAGTTATATGTAAAATGCAAATTAATCTCAAATTAATAATTAGTATTCAGATAATAATGTTCTAATTTTAAACTTATAGTTGCTAAGTATTCTGTATTTCTTTTGCATATAGTATTTTTTTTGTATATACTTTATGTATGTTTATTTTTAGAATTTTCTTGTTTGTTCTTAACTTTTTAACTATGAATACAATGTCTTAATTCTTAAAATATTACACATGTTTCTTTAATGCTATATTCTTTTGTTTGTGACATTGTTGTCTTTAAATGACTTTCAAAATTAGAATATCATGCCTTTATACTTTTTAGAGTTCCAACATTAACAAATACATTAACTTCAAACTGAAGTATTTTAAAATTTTCTTCAGTTCTATATGATGGCAATTCAGTAAAACATTGAATACTATAATTGTAGTTTGAAGAAAAGACATCTCTAAGAGAATTTGGTAATAAATCCCAGGTACATTCCTAAAAATGTATTTATTTTATAAAAAATGCATATAATATATACTAAGTAAATAACTTTTATTTATATATATACCTGTATATATTGATTGTCTACATCATTAAGAAATATTTTACTAGTATTTTCATGTTCAAAAGTTCTAAAAGTATCTTAATATTCAAAAGTTGTCTTGCTGGTACTTTCAGATTTAAAACTTGTATCACTAATATCTTTATAAATTATTTCACCTGTACCTTCATATATGAAAGTTGTATCATTAGTACTTTTATATTCAAACAGTATTTCTTCAGTACTGTCATATCTATCAATTATTTTTTCAATATTTTTATATTCAACAATCAGTTCACTGATACTTTTACATTTAATAATTGGTTTATTAGTACTTTCACATTTGATAATTAGTTCACTAATACCTTTACATTCAACAATTAGTTTACCAATACCTTTGCATTCAACAATTAGTTTGTTAATACCTTTATTTTTGAAAATCAGATTTTCAGAACCTTCATGTTCACAAGACATTTTAACAATACCTTTGCTGGTATCTTTGCACATGCTTAATTTATTATTTAGTAAAACAAATTATGAATTGTTATTACTTAGGTTTTTATATTAAGATGTTAAGAGTTCTGATACGTATATAAACTTGCCTTTTTTTTTTTATAGTATATAAAAAAAGTGTTCTTTAACAAAAATTATTATCCTACTAATTGGTATAAGGTAAATATCATCTAAAAAATTTGCTCAAAGTTATTATTCATTTTTTTGCACTCACTATGTTTGTCTATTATGTTTTCTTTTTCTAACATCTTGTCTCTTTCTTCAATCAACTTCTCTTTTTAAATACTATGCTTAACAAGAACAATAATTATTAGCATTAGATAAAATTTACTAAAAAAGCCAAATAGAAGTTTGTGTTGTGCTAATCAAACCTCTTATTTATTATTTTTTTCTTTATTATACAATCTTACATCACAAATCTGTTAATAATAAACTTTAAATTACTTAATATGTTCTATATTAAAATTATATATTACTACTGTATTGTTATCAACTGATTTTATTGGTTATTATAGTGGCAGTAGATGCATGTATAACAGTACTTGCATATGATCTACATAACCTGGCACAGAATACCAACATGTAAAATTATTACTATATTATTTATATATGCAACTTGGCTTATTGTTATTATTAACAAAAATATATACCAATATATATCTATTATTAACTATAATAGATATATATTAATAGTTATTCACTTTGTTAAGTTATATCAATTAAGATATATATTAATATATATCTATTATAATAGAAAATTAATAAAAAATAATTTAGTATAATATTAATATATATCAAATATATTTAGTAGTATAAACTTTATATTAATAACAATATTTAACAAAATTTTAAAATAAATAATTATAATTTATATATATTA